TGAGAGATTCAAACAAAAAGTAATCAATAAATAGAACAAAATAAAAAATAATAAAGACTGCAAGTGACGTCGCTAGCGGAAGCGCAAGTGTCTGAGAGTGCAAGCCTGAGAGTGCAAGCGCCAGCTGCAGCCAGACCCTTTTGGGGCATGATAGTATGGTAAGGGGCGTAACATTTCCGTCACATGCTTGAGGTATTCGGCCAATCACAACGCACTGGATAGCTGGCCAATCAGAGCACACCTTGCTTTTTCAGACCGATGAGCTTTGTAAAAATCGACGCATTTCAGAAAGGCGGGGCATAGAGGAGAAACAATAATGTACAGTATGTGGAAAATAATGTGTTTTTTTAACCTTAAACCACATAAACACATTTCATTACACCAAATACACAAAATAATGTTCTTTTTAGCAGCATCATATGACCAATATGAGCCCATCATATGACCATGTCAATGAGGCAAGAAAAATAAACTTAATTCAAGAGGAAAACAAGATTATTTTTCTGACCCAATTGAGAGAGATTTTTTTATTTTTTTTAAAGCAAAAATTCACTTAATTTTGATAAAGTTTTCAGAAAACAAGACTTCTTATTTAATGTCATTTTGCTTTTCAAGTAAATGTACCTCGATTTAGGAATGTTTAGATATTTGTACTGGAAAACAAGACAAAAATACTGAGCAAAAAACATTTTTTTGCATTGACTGTTGCACTCTATTCCATGCATACAGAAAATCGACACACTGCACAGAGAATACATACTATATAATGCAAAAATAGCATGCATAGTATTGTAGCCTGCACTTATATTGAAGTCTCGACTGGAAGCTATTTATTTCTGGTCCAGTCGAGCTTTCAAAACCACTTACAGTGATGATCTAATGAAACAAATAAAAACAAGAGCTGTCCGTCTTAAAGAGCGTCCGAAGACCGACTGTAAGGGATGTACTGTTAAACGGGGACGGGGACGCTGGCTCAGACGGTCAAACTAAATAAAATCTGACTTCCAACGGTGTTGTCTGGGTCTCAGAGTGAAATCCAAAGGGATTCTGGGATGTTTTCCGTGTCAGTTCCTCCAGGGCTCGACAGTGTGAGCATTTCTCTCGCATTTGTGGCAAAAATAGATGTGTGCAAACTGTAAAATGTATTTAGGAGCATGTCTGTGAATAAAAAAGTCTCTGTGGGTCCTTAAAAAGTCTTAAATATCATAAATACTTTAACAAATGTCTTAATTATCAATTGAAGAGGTCTTAAATGTAGGTATGGAAAAAGAGGAATTGTGATACGGCCTAACATGATTATTATATTTCAAAAAACGATGATCTCATTAAATAAATGCTATCAATTAATTCCTCACATTTTTAGGCTAATAGATCACTTATGATCTACTGCTGATGAATTATGACAGTGTTTAATTTTTTTGAATGAACAGCGATGGACATTTCAAAATAAGAGTCCTGGTGTATTTCAGGCTTGTTTGCATATAATTAAAAGCCCACATTATGCAAGTTTTTTTCGCCCTGGTTATTATTGGAGTTTTGGTTACACTATATATGTGGGTATATATTGGGTGCCATCAGAATGAGAGTCCAAACAGCTGATAAAAACATCACAATAATCCACAGCACTCCAGTCCATCAGTTAACATCTGGAGAAGACAAAAGTGGAAACAAATCCAGCATTAAGACGTTTTTATCTTCAAACCGTTGCTTCCTGCTAAAATACAAGTCCATAATCCATAATAATGCTTCCTCCAGTCAAGTCAAGCCACCTTTATTTGTATAGTGCTTTATACAATACTGATTGTGTCAAAGAAACCAGCATGGAGTGGTTTAATTCCAGGCGGCAACACAGACCAGATTGTGTTGTGTTCTCCAGTGAAAAAGTCCCATCTCCTGTTGTCTCTCAAATCAAAATCCAGCCACATATTTGTTCAGAGCTGTTTTGGCTTGTAAACATGTGCTTGATCTGTGGATTTTCAGCAAATATTCATTTTAGGGGGAACTGTTCCTTTAAGATTTCGAATGCGCTCACCTGTCTCCCTCCTCGGCGGTGGACGTCTTCTCCTCCTGCTCCTGTGATGACGTGGTGCTGATGGCGCTGCGGGCGGGGCTGCTGTCGGCGGAGGCACTGGTCGTGGTGGCGGTGGGCGGAGCCGTGTTGGTGTTCTGCTTGAGGGTCTGTAGCTTGGCGAGGGGGATGATGTCACAGCTGTGTGGGCGGTGCCAGACGGTGCACTGGGTAGAAGCATTATAATAATAGAATCGGGACGTTTTGGAGTCGAAAAGCTCCCACCACTGATCCTGTCCGCTGTGCTTGATCTGCACGCCCGCCGGGGCGTCCCAAACGCACTCGCCCGTCAGCAAGTTGGCGTACATGCGCTCCCGAGTGCGCGGCTCAATGATTTCCACCCATTCCAACCTAAAAACATACAGAAACATGCTTTACACTCAGTAATGAATTAAAGGCACAATATGTAAGATTTTTTTATTAAAATATCCAAAAACCACTAGAACAGTGTTATATATTTTGCCGACTTGTGTACTTACATTATCCCAAATGTTTCAAAAAAATGTTAAATCCAGAGAAATAAACCATTTTAATTAGTGACACGGAGCGTGTCCATAGTGTCATAGTGTCGCCTGCTAATGACGTCATAACCCCTCAATTTCCGGTTTTGTTTTGTCGAGCCGTTTGTCACTCTCGTCTCTCATTAGCAATTGCTTCAGCAGCCTCGTTTTGCTTCGACGGCTTTCAGCCTCACCCTGCTTCATACTACTACGTTAATAAATCATTAGCTCATCCATGAACATGATTTCTGCCCGAGTCCCGTCAGATTGCATCGGCTGTGGGGATGAAGACCACAACTCCCATGATTCCACACTCAGTCACAGCGTCATCAAACTACGCCTTTGTTTCTTTGTTTGTTTTGAATGCACGCCCTCTAGTGGCGAAAACTTATATATTGTGCCTTTAATGGATCACACAAAAAAGTTTTTTGCTGAAAGAAAATGAAGCCTACTTTTCAAACAAAGCATTATGGCATAATTCTATATATTTTTATATATTTTATAAAATTGTGGGATTGCTACTGTAATGCAAAAGAAAATAAAGATATATAAAAATGAAAAATTAAATAATTCTAATGAAAATTAAACATTTTTCTCTACAAAATTCTGAAATTCTGTAAAAAAATATTTAATATATAAAATTTATATACACAAACCACAGTCTATGACAAACACATTTTCTCTCCAAAATTCTGTAAAAAATAAATAAATAAATATAAACTTCTTTTAAAAAATATATTAAATTTTTACTGTCATTAAATTAGTCACAATCTAAAAAAAAAATAAATAAATTTAAAAGTTGTCTTTATGCAAAATAGAAAAAATATATAGTATTCAGGTTTTGGAGTAAAATATGACTGATGATGATATGTTTTTGTGAGATGCACCCATTTATGGAAAGTAATGATGTCAGAGAGAGGATTACAGTCATATATAGAGTCATCATGATTTTTCATATGAGTCATGTATTACAGTGTGTGTGTGTGTGTGTGTGTGTGTGTGTCTGTGTGTGAGATATACAACATAAGCAGCAAAATCCCAACAGGCTGAGACATGCTTGTTTCATAAGATCTCTGTGCATTTGTTTACATTTTTAATAATTTAAAAGCCTGAATAAAAATCTTATGAAGCGTAAATATAAACGCTAAAAAGATTTTAATATTTTCTAAAGAAAATGTTGTGGTGGTGTTGTTGAACAAGACACATGATTTGAGAAAGCATCCATATCTGAAGCACAAATGCTGCAGAATTTGGCAAAAACTGCTAATTCTAAATAATGGTCTACACGTTCAAAAACTGAAACAAAGACGTTTCGCCGCTACAGGCTGCGTGTTTATCTGTGTTCAGATGTTATTTTCATTGTATATGCACACACTATATATGTGTGCGTGTGTGTGATAATCAGCTCCGTTAATCCCATAGTAAATTTCTTCTGGTCCTTTAATCAAATCTAATCTGCTCTAATTCAGGATAACCTGATCGCTCAAATCCTGCTGAAAGCATTTTTGGGAAGCTGGTCAGAGGGGATGCTGGGTAATTTGATCTGTCTGGATCTTCCATCTGAATGTGCTGAAGCATTTGATCGGATTGCACTCCTCAGGATTTCAATATGTTCAGCTAATGGATCTTCATAAACGTGTTATTCAGGAGGTGTATTCATAAGAGAAGTGCTCGAGACTCAATTTTCTGGAGATCACGGTTACAGTGCAATACTAGAGCACTGCTCACTGCCTAGTGTGTACTATATAGTGCCTGCTATTAAAAAAAGCATTTAAAACCATTAGTTCACTGAATGGCGTCTAGTCATCATCCTAGATTTTAAAAGAAATTAATACTTTTATTCAGCAAGGATGCATTAAAAGCTGTTCTTTTGAACTGTCCATTCATCAAAGAATCCTGAAAAATAAAATGCATCATGGTTTACACAAATATATGAAGCAGCACAATTGTTTTCAATACTGATAATAATCAGAAATATTTCTTGAGCAGCAAATCAGCATATTAGAATTATTTCTGAAAGATCATGTGACACTGAAGACTGGAGTAATGGTGCTGAAAATTCAGCTTTGATCACAGAAATAAATTACATTTTAACATATATTTACATAGACAAGTTATTTTAAATTAAATATTATTTTACAATTTTCACTGTATTTTTGATCAAATGAATACAGCCTTGGTGAGCAGAAGAGACTTCTTTCAGAAACATTAAAAAATCTTACATACCCCAAACTTTTGTAGTAGTATAAATATGGCAATTTATTGCATTTATTAATTTAAAAAATATATATTTTCATTACTAGAAATAAAATAAATTTTTAGTGAAATGAAAGATTTTTTTTAAAAATGTAAAAAAAAATGATCTTCCAATAAAGGAAAGAAAAAAACTTGGTTTCCCTTTGAATTAAGATTATTTTTCTGACCCCACTGACAGATATTTGTTCTTGTTTTATGCAAAAACTCACTTCATTTTGATTTTTCAGAAAAAAAGTAGAAGAATCAGAATTAGCTTTATTCACCAAGTAATATTATAAAATAATATCTTAAGTCTTTCTGCTTCTCTTGATTGTTAGATATTTTTACTGGAAAACAAGACAAAAAAATACTGAGTAAGAAAATCATTTTTTTGCAGTGTAGCCTGATGAAAGGAGTTTCCTGAATGGTAATGTTAGTAATGGTTTGATGACTGATGGTGTGGCTGGAGTCGAGCAGATGCACTGCTATTGATTGACAGGCTTTCTGCTGCAGTGCTGTTAACAGCCGCCATCTGCAGCAATCACTGACCGCGCTTTACCAAGTGCCACTAATCATGCAGCTGAATTTAAAGCTGTCGCTCAGAGCATTCACCGCCGACCGCAGAACCGCAGCAGGTGAAATCAGAGAATAAAACGCAACACCTACTATAACATGACAGAAAATGCATATTAAAGAGCAATTATTCAAGTCAGATCGAGCACACTTACATCAAAAGAGCACATTTGCATTGCTAAAAATGACTCAAACGCTTCAGCCGAATGTATTCTTGAGACGGAAGGTCAAAGGTCACATGGTGACCATCACTACAATCCTCTCGTCAGTCTATTAATCTCTACAGCTTGTTTCTATCCATTCTTCTATCTACGACCTGCCCTTTACCTCTCTCACCGAATCTATATAGAGAGATCTTCATCTCTACAGATAAACGAGAGCACAGGGATTTAATGTGACGAAAACCCTCTGCAAATGACAGTCAGAGTTCATCTGATAACACACAGATACAAAAAAAGAGTTAAAGGGATAGTTCACCCAAAAATGAAAATTTGCTGTTAATTTACTCACCCTCAGTCCATCCAAGATATAGGTGACTTTTCTCTGCAGTAGAACAGTATAGAAGTTTTTTAGCTGAAACTGTGGTCATTGGTGATTCATAAAATGCAAGTCAATGGCTACCGTCACTTTGTGAGTCAAAAAAGCACATACAAGCAACACAAAATTAATCCCCGCAACTCCTGGCGATATATTGAGGTCTTATGAAGCGAAACGATCAGTCTGTGCAAGAAACTGAACATTATTTACAACTTTATTACCTGTAATCCAGTGCCTCAGGCAAACGATCCAGAGTGATGTCCGGTTCACGAACGAATCATTCCTTTGAACTGATTCTTTTTAGTGAACTAGTTTAATCAGTTCACCAAATCGGACAGAAGTGTCTGAAACAGCACAGATCTACAAGTTACTCAATCAAAACTCACTTTCAGACGCCTGACAGTCACTTCGACCCAAAATGGTCCAAAATAGCAGCGTATCTGATTCAATGATGAATGAATCATTCAGTGCTCCAGTTCCTCCAACAGTCACTGAACTGAGGAAACAGTTTGACTCGAACCGAAGACCGATGAGCCGCTGATATGAGCATGTGTGAACCGAACACTTGAATGAAGGGGCGTAATGAACATTTTCATGCTTTCTCATGGTTTATGTAAAAAGGTGAGCTGGTGAAGACTAATTTATTCACTTTATATGCTTTAGACATGTAAAACATCCACATTTCACATCATTATTGGGTGATTTAATAATATAATTGCGTATATGTGACGTCATTGAAAAATGTATTAATTGAACCAGTTCATTGAAACGAACTGTCTGAAAGAGCCAGTTCAGAATCTAACTGAATCGAAAAGAATCGTATTTCCTGTTTGCATGAGGCTCTGGATTCAGATCAGACTGATCGTTTCGTATCATAAGACCTCAATATATCGTCAGGAGCCATGCATATTAATTTTGTGTTTCTTGATAGGCTCTTTTTTTAATTCTCAAAAACCGGTAGCCATTGCCTTGCATTTTATGAATCACCAAGCACCACGGTTTCAGCTAAAAATCTTCTTTACTGCTCTATAGGGCTGTCAAAATGGCTGAAAAACTAAATTCGAATTTTGTACTTAAATATGATCAAAATTCGAATTATATTCGAATTTAAAATGCATAATTTCAGTTAGGGTGAAGAAAAGCTTTTGGCTTCTCTCCTGAGGCCACAAGTGGGCACATCATTCAAAGCATAAGATAACATGACTATCTGTGAAAAAAAGTGCATAATGTTTAAAATAATGTTTATAAACCAATTATAATTAAATTGCTTAAACAACTATAAACAAAACAGCATCATGTATGTATGCATAGTTTAATACAAAGGGAGGAAAGCCAACCACACAGAGTACATTTTTCATTTAAAAACATGAGATGCAGTGGGATGGGGAAAAACCTGCCATAAAGTCTCGATATATGTTTTTTTCAAAGTTAAACTTGCATACATGCGGCTCTTTTGTGCGAGACGCGAGTGCAACAGTAACAGATGTCCCTATATTAAATGGGCAA